GTGCTTTTACATTAGAGGTATTCAGACATATTCGGTAACTCGGTAAGCTGATACCACTTTTTATGTATTTATATTCGAGGCATCAGGTCTGATAACTAAATTTTTAAAATTTTTCAGTAATAGGCAAAACATTAGCTGATTGGTATTACTGTGTTGTCCAAAATTTAAATTTATTTCATATTTGAAAAACTATTTTTGTTTGAAAAAATGATTGATAAAAAAAAATATTTATAGAATTGATAGAATTTAGAATTAATCGAACAAAATTTGTTTGATTTCTTTGCATATCCCTTGCTTTCATATAAAACGAAAACAAAATCAGCTGGTTTGGCAGTTTTATTTTACAATATTAGCGAAAAAGAATTAGAGAGACGATATCCGACGTTTATCATTTTATCACTTCTTTGAACACCCAGTTACGGATCACAATATTCAGGAGCAACGCCTGAATACTCTTTTTATCACAATAGCTACCACTGTCGTTTAGTCAAAGAAATTTTATTGCTGTGTTTTAATCATTTCTACACATTTAGCTGAAGCTAAATATATCTTCAGCATAACTTATATTCTCATTTTAAATATTTATAATGAGGCTTCTAACAACACTTTTCGGTCATTCCTTTCGCCGGGGTGATACTCAGTGGCTGGCTCTGGGTCGTTACAATAAATTTTTAAATAATGAGAGACAGTGTTTATTTTTAATCTCTATTTATTACGATGTTTACATTGTAATTGACATTTACTTTATTTACTAAATTATATTGAAATTACGATACGGTTGCAGTATAGTATTATATATATAGTATTATATGTAGTATATAGTCGGTGTATTCTCTTTGATACATGCTGCGGAAAAATAGTTATTAGTTATAAACTTTGTTTGATATAAACGTTTTCACGTCTATATATGGTTTAGTATATGGTGAAAACGTGTTCACGCTTTTGTACGGCTTCAGTAGAAAGGATAAAATGTGTTCACGGTTTATATTAGGATTTAGTAACAAGATATGAACATGTTCACGCTTATATTTGCTAGAGTGGAACGATATATATTTCGAAGGAAAATTGTTATATGAGTGTTTTTCATACTTAGCTCTGTGGGCGACTTTGTATGCTGTATTCGTCTGTCCAAGTCCCTGGTGTATTTTCGGACTCTTCGAGCGTTGATAAGGAGCCTCTGCCTGTTTCTGATCTTATAAACGCACTTGACCAAACTATAATGTAGCGCAAAGCTTAGTTTACAGCTGGTTTGCATTTTGACGCCGTTGCTGTTTTGCGCTTTCGCCGTAGTTGTTTTAGTGATATGCGTGCGCATCTAAAAACTTCTTTTTGACGTTTCTTGCAAAAAACTTCTTTTTGACGTTTCTTGTGTTGTGTGCATTTGTTGTTTTGTTTTGAAACGTGTTTACCTTAGTGTCGGTAGTGGCAGTTTTTAATATTTATATATATTTATAAAAATAAAATATATATTAAAAATATTAAAAAAATGTATTGTAATGATCCCTTTTTGGTTCGTATCAAGCTGGGGTTGAGCTCAGCCGTCCCCAAGGTCCACACAAGAAATTTATTTAATGAGACCCCGTCACATCTGATTGCTCTTAATTGCAGATAACTTGGATCGAATATCAATCGGAATCACAGACGCAAAGGAATCACTTGACAGAAATAGACACGATATAATACCAGCACGCGTGACTGTTAAAGCTACGTGAGTGGTATTACAGGTCGCTGATCACACGCCCTCCCCTGTTCACTGTTAAAGGGCCCAGGGGCCGGAGACGTTAGGTGACTATTAAAGCTACCTATCGTTTCCGACGCTATGGTATAGACTCACGTGACTATTAAAGCTACGTGAGTTATACCCCGTACAACCGAGATTCAGTCACTGTTGAAGCCCTGAATCTTTCTTACCTGTGTCTCTCAATTGTGCCGTTGCGTTGGATTCACACCTTGATTTTGCACCGATCAGGAGAAGCTAGTTTGTGTTGAACTCTATCAAATCGGTAGTTATACCTATGAGCCCTCGCTATTGTACCTGTTTTGCTTTTATTTTAATAAAACAATTTTTTTCAATTTATTCTCTCGTTTAGTTTTTTTTTTATTCATTAAAAGAAATTTATTAATATTTATTTTATTATCAAATAAATAATTAAGTACAAATTTAGTTTTATTTTATTTTTTAAATTAAGTACTCTTTACTCTACTTTAAGTTTTTATAATTTATCAATAAAGGTTTTTTTTAAGAAAATTTTAGATAGTAGCACATTTACTAATTTAATCAGTTTATCTTACTTGAAAATAATTTTTACGTACAAAATTGCAATTTATGCGTACTCACAATTTATCAATAAGAGTTTTTTTAAATTCATATAGTAACACATTTACTAATTTATTCCGTTTATCTTACTTGAAAATAATCTTTACATACAAAATTGCAGTTTATACGTACTCGCAATTTATCTATAAGAGTTTTAAATTTTATATATTAACACATTTACTAGTTTAATCAGTTTATCTTTCTTAAAAACAATCTTTTCGTGCAAAATTGTAATTTATGCGTACTCACAATTTATCAACAAGAGTTTTAAAAATTCAATTTCGATTATTACAACTTTACTGGTTCAATTAATTTAATTTTTAATTTTAAATAACTCTTTTGTTTATAGATACGATTTTACACTATTTCTGAAAACTATTTAATTGTTTTTGATATTATCACCGCCGTCTTAGTTAAATAAATTCCGCTGCTGCTAACACCAGAACCAGGAGTTTTCTTTTGACGATCGCACAAAACAAGACAAGAGAGCTTCTTCCACATGTACGCACTTTTATACCGTCAACGATCAACGGTGCCAGCTGTAGGTACGTTAAAGTTCAACGACCGTTGATCGAAGCTCGTGAACTGATCCCTCTGCAATGCACCAGCGAAAGTCTAGCTTTAGGGCGAATTCTAATTTTTCTCTCTCATGTGGAAGCTGGAACTTGTTCTTTCTTTAAGCTTCGCCCTAGTTCCACACCTTTTCCACAAAAGCTTTCTTCGTTTGACAGCTCGTGTTGTTTTGTTTTGTTTATTCTATTTTTACAATGTGATTTCTTTTTAAAATAAATTACAATTTAATCAAATAATTATAATTATAAATAATATATTAATCAATCTAGACAAAAAAAATAGTGTGTGGACTATGGTAAAATATGATTATCACTTCCAGTGTTGGAGTTCTGTTGTTGTGGAGTGGCCCGTTGTGTTTTTGGTGTGGCGTGTATCGCGGGAGGCTGCGGTGAGTTGGTTAAGTTAATGTGCTTATCCGTACTTAACAAATTTTATTTTGTTTTTTTCAATATAGGAACCGTCGATTATATATATTCAAGTGAGTGTTTCTTTTATTGTGTAGGCAGCTATACCCACGATGTTGTAACGATCAAATTTTTGGTTGACAAAATTTTGGCCGTTACAGTATAAATATAAATAATAAACAATTAAGGTACGTGTATTATTTATTTATTTAAATATATTTTATGTTACTTTTGCATATACATTTATGTATTTTTAGCTTAAATCATTGGCGGAGTTGCGTGAATGCGGGGATGTGTTTTTGGTAAGTTGTTTGCATTTAATATATTAAATAAAAATTAACCAATTATAATCACTGGTTACATGTAGGTTGGAAATTGGAAAAAATTTCCATCCTTATAGGCTGGTGCATGACAGTTATTTTTCGGAGAAGAAAAGTCTACTCAAACTTCAACAACCTTTTTCCAAAATATGTAAGCCATAAAAATTAACGCCATGTGTTGACAATGAAGATATTATTATATCTGCCTATTGAAGCTCGACGTACTATTACATTGACGAAGCATCATGTCCTTCGAAAAGATAATAAAATATTATCATGTTGCCTACAAACATCAAAATCAAGCTACAATTATCAACGCCGTATGGAAAATGTTCTGGGTAATTGGTGCCAAGGCATTTTTAAATCAGTCCAATGCAATTGTATGGAATGCTGCGTTGAAGCCGCCAAGCCAGCACCAGAGTTAATAGGTCAGCTCCCAGTCGACCTCTTTGAACCATTACACGTGGCTATTGGTCATCGCCGTGAAAAGCGCTGGACTGTCATATTCACATGTTTAACAGAATGTGCCGTGCATATAGACATCGTAAATAGCTTATCAACAGATGCATTCCTATTATGTTACGGTAACTTTATTAACCATGGTGTTACGCCAGTCAGAATGTGTAGTGATAATGGCATGAACTTCATTGGCACACAAAAAAATTAGGTAGTGATGAACAGTTTGTTATGTTAAAGGTATGCGTAAACAAGCCACTCAACTTGAAATTGAATGGATATTCAATTGCTCACAGAATCTTAGTGCAGTTGGTTACTGGGAGCGTCTTATAAAAATAGTTAAACGTCTTTTTTTAAGACAATTAGAAAAAAAGCGCCGAAGGTGGAAACATTGAGTGCAGCATTAATTGAAGCTGAAAATATTATTAATTGTCGACTGCTTACAGATGTTCCTTTGACGCACAGCAAACAGAAGCTGCACACACCAAATCATTTCTTATTAGGGTATGCCAATAGCATAAAAACACGCTATAATGACGTACACCTTGCAGTGATGGGGTTAGAACATTCCCTAGGCAAGGTATGCCTGTCGTAAGAGATGACTAAAATCCCGGTATCATGCCGACACTGAGCAGGCGCATTGGCAACGATCATTAAGACGTTTAAACCCTGGCAGACCACGAGAAACGCTCTTACACTGACACTATTAACTTTGTGCTACAGTTGAGTATGAGTCAGTTAAATATAGTCTTTACTAACACTGGTCCGACTCTGAACGTATATTCTCATAAGGAGGTGCAGGGAGTTCCATTCAAAGACAACTATGGGATCAAAAAGGTGACTGCACATTTAATGAACAACAACGAATTCAAATGGGAACCAAACAAAATTAATACAGCAAAAACAAAACCAACTACAAAAACAACAACAATGGAGGAGAAAGATACTGATAGCGTGCCCTACGAAGCTGACAGCATAGACTTAGGCAAGGGCACTGCGGATGTTGTAGACTCGTTTCTAAAATCGCCAAGGATTACCGTCGCTAAAACGTGCATTCCCCAAGGGATAGCACCAACGACAACGTTTCAGGTGTTTATAAAGACTTTAGGAAATGCTTTCCTTAGCCTGAGAAGTAAGATTTGATCTCTCATTGAAATGGTGAATGAGACACAATCGGATGGAAAGGACACAGGGCTATCTATCAACCGATGAGAGATATGATCGATGGCATCAGACTTCTTTACAAAGGCAGCGATCGAATTTCAAGGTAAGGTTGCAAGGGAGGCGATCCAGTCAGACTGTTGCTCCCAAACCTGCCCCTGGTTGAAAAAAGCAATAGACGCTAAGAGACAACGACTCACCTACTTAAGGTACTCTCGTTGGGCAAACTGGAAAAAAACGCCTAAGGAAAGGCAAGACAAAGGCGGAAGGCTTAACAGCAAGAGCAAAGGATGATGCAACCGTCACCGCCATTTACCCCGTACCTGCAAAGAAACTTGAAAAGCCTCCTCAGAAAAAAGTTACTTAAGTACAAAAGTGGAAAAAGGTCAAAACAAAAAAGAAACCGCGTATGCCACCCAAGCCGGATGCAATCATTATCGCATCGACTGCGAAGAAAAGTTACACGGATATACTTAGGACCATAAGGATGAACAAATCACTTATGGTAAATACCTGGTCGATTCGGTCAAGCGTTTTTGCAGGACCGCCAAAACGTAGTAGTTAGTTTTGCCGGAGATGTGATGAAGAAGGTCACTTTGCTGCTACGTGCAGTAAGGACAGCAAATGTATCCTTTATGGAGAAAAGCACGCCGTTGGAAACGCGAGCTGCCCGGAGTACAAGAAGGCGGCAGAAAAATTACGTAAATGAGAATTGTATAAATCAATCTGAATCACTGCAGGACGACACAGGACCTGTTGTTTCATACGGCTTATGAGCAAAATATGGATATAGCTCTCTTATGTGAACAAGAGAGTTTCTTTCATGATGTAAGAAACTACTCGCGGATTTTGTACACCTCCAATGCTCTACTACAGCTAAGCGACGCTTTTTTACTTTGGTCAAGGTAGAAGAGATCTTCTTGTTCTTCTGCTACGCTTCACCTAGTCTGGACTTAAAGGAATTTGAGCAACTACTCTCCGAAATCCTGGCAGAAGCCAATGACAAGTCTCCTCTAATCCTTGTGGGTGACTTTAATCCTTGGTCTACTTTTTGGGGTAACGTTTGCTCATGATGTTTGCGATGTGCTCGGTTCGTGGTTCGTGGGTGTTCGAAAAACACCATGCCATCGACGCACGACAGGGTGTTTTTCTTCATCGGTCAATTACCAACGGATCCGTAGGTTGAGGTGCTCTACTACCATGAACCGAGCACATCGCAAACATCGTGAGCAAACGTCAAGTCAAACGTTTGTTCGCCAATATTTAGCAGCACAAAATCTAGTTGAGAGAAATACTCTAAGACCACTCTTCGTCTGGAGTTGATGTGACAGCTACCCCAAAAAAGAAGTCCAAGCATTAAAGTCACCCGCAAGGATTAGAGGAAGCTTGCCATCGACGGATGACAGGGTGTTTTTCTCCGTCCCCGATTGGTTATAAAATCGGATGAAGAACAACAACACTTCTGGCCCAGATGGTATCCCTAGCGTTGCTATTATTGCGGCAATTAAAGCTGACCCAAACGTATTTGCAAACTTGTTTACCAAATGCGCGGAGGAAGGAGTTTTTCCAAGCCCTTGGAAAAAGCAAGATCTGGTCTTATGCCTTAAACCAGGGAAAGAACCGCAGGATCCAACAGTGTACCGACCAATATGCATGTTGGACGAACTCGGGGAAACCTTGGAATCTGTCATGGACAACATCTTGCACGAGTCCCTGGAACGCCACAAAAGACTTAGTGTGCGGCAATTCGGTTTCCGCAAAGGCAAGTCCACGCTTTATCACTGTTCCCACAGATCACACGTCACGTCTCTTATCATTTCCACAAGTCATCGAGGAAGGTCTGGGAAAATTAATGCGTTTAAAAATGAAAATTGCTCCACCTATATCGCAATTTGGTAGCATGTTGGGCTTAACTGATTTTAATCCAGATTCTTTATCAAATAAATTGGATGAAATGCTGAAAGTTATTAAACAAGTTAATGAACAGTTTAGAAATCCAGTAAGCATTTAATATTGTGTATTTAATATTATTAATAATAATTCCTTACAGTCTTAAATAAAAATAACTTCATATAACTGCATATATTGTGATTTTTATCGTTTTGTCGATTTAGAAAAAAAATATTTGAAATATTGAATTTTTTAGTATTTTTTAGTATAAAACACCTTCAATAAAATTATTCATTATACCAAATGCAATTAGTTGTAGAACATCTTTGAATACCTTTAGTATGTTATTCAGTTTATACAAAAGCCTATATATTTGTTTAAACTAATTAAAAAAAATTATTTATCAAACATACACATCAATCATACTCATTAAGGGGAATTTATTTATTAATTATCTTATTGTTTTATATAAAACAGACTTTAGATAGATAAACAACATAACAACAATAAGTTGAATGCAAGTGGTGTTCAGTAGAAAGAAACTTTCTGTACCTATATGTTATAAAGAAAGTTGCATATAAAAAAGGAAATGTATGTTGATCCTTTTTTTCGAGTCAGCGCAACTGGGCACTTTTACTCTTTGATAGCTGGGGGTACTACAGGGTTCCACCCATCTCATTGACTAATTTATGTATTGCCTATAAGCATCATGATTATTCAGTGATTGATCTAAGATCTGCGTACCTCCCCGTGCGGAGAGTGATTACTCTAAGATTAGATAGTGGTAAGTAGGATAGCCTGTCAATTTTCGCATATAAGTTCACGGCTCTGTCCCTTATGTATTTTTTTATCGGGTCTATTCTAAGGTCTCTTAGCATATCGTATGTGCGGATGTACCAAGGCACTTTGAAGAGCCTTCGGAGAGCCTGACTTTGAGCGACTTGTACCTTTTGTACAGTAGAGTCGACAGCTTTGCTATACGCGACACACCCATAAAGTAATGCTGGTCTAATTATCTGGCTAAAGATCAGTTTTCTGTTCTTCACGCTAAGGTTGTTGTGTTTGAAAAGTGGTTGTAAGCATTGTAGTGTTTTAGCGCAACTGCTTTCTTTGACTTGTATATGCTTATGCCAAGTGAATCGCTTATCAAACGTGATACCTAAGTATTTAATGCTATCCTCCCAATTAATCACGATGTCACCAACTCTTACTCTCGGTGGAAATATTACAACAATTATGTTTATAGAAACTTTTGTTATTAAAATGATTTTCTTTTATTACTACAGTGTTTAATCTCGAATTCGGATTACCAAAATAAAAAATGTGATGAATAGTTCTGAATGAAATTGATTTTTAATGAAAGTCTTTAATAATTTACAAATACATTTCTGATATTTTAAACTTTTATACAAGTTTTTAACAAAATTGTTAATTATTATTTGCTGAGTTTGTTTCATTCTGTTCATTATATGCAATTTTTCTTAGACTGAGAAATTGTAAAATATTCTATATTTATTTGCCGCTATTAATTGCAATATTTTGGCAATTATTTTACGACGCTTTATTCGTATGTAATTTAATTATTATTGAGAATTTTATTTTGTTCAATGCAGAACAATCTAATAATATTTTGATCCATAATTTTCATCAAAATATATAGTAAAGAAAAACAATATTCACAAGTATCCAAATGTAAACAAAACAAATGTAAACAAAAGATAACAAAAACAGCAACTGTCAAAATGAACACCTGAAACGATCATGTAAACGCTAAATCAACTTTAGCAAAGTTCGTTCACAAAAGTTCGTAATGTAAACATAGTATAAGTATTACTAATCACATCACAAATCGTAATGCATTAAGTATATCACATATTACTCAATGTAAACATTTTACATGTAAACTGTAAACTGCAAACATTATTTTAATAAAGCAAAAAATCATAAAAGGCGCACCGATAAATTTTTGTCGATAACATCTTTGTTAGATATATGTTAACATATATTGCATTTTGCACAACAGTTATTTTTGTTCACAATTTGATCAAAACAGAATTTCAACTATAACGTATTCCCTCTACTTCAAAGTTTTGTCCTTTCTACAAGCAAATAGCATACAAGACCATCAAAACAATTTATTTAAATGTTCGCAGCCTGTGATCCACTGGTTTTTATGGTAAATAGCTGTAGGAAAACGTCGGCTTACCACAGATTTCGACGTTTTTACATCAGGTACCAAATTCTTCATATCTGGAGTTGGTCTATTCATTTTATGAATTAAAATTAATCTTTTTTTCAAAAGATCGTTTAAGAAAAGATATCTGAATCAAATCTTTAATCACACATTTATCCATTTCTAAATATTATTTTTCACTTCAAATTTCTTTAATTTTTTTTTTACTTTTATCATTTGCTAGTATAAATTGCAATAATGACTTTGTTTTTGGTTTATTTCCAACCTCAACATAAGAGTAAGAAACTCTCATGCATTCATTTACTCTTTTACTTTGTATTTACTATGAGCGGTTCAGTTTTTTTATTGAACCATTTGCCCATATAAAACGGCAACCGTGACTTTGATTGTATTTGCACGCTTTATATGAACTTGGGGTTCAATTTGGTCGGTTGAACCTCTCGTCAAATGTAAAGCGATTTTCACTCAGTCATTTCTATTCTCTTTTGTATTTACTTTGCATAACATTGGAGGTTCACTTTTTTATTGAACCTCTCGCACGCATTAATTTAAGAGTTATGATTATTTTACGTACATATTTTGCGGGGCTTGTTTTCTCTATTATTTTTATATTTGTTTGTATGTTTTGTGTTGTGTATTCAATATTGAACATAGTCCCAATGTGAATGTTATTTCATTTGCATGCTTTGTAAGGAGCGCGGTGCAGTTTTTATTCTGAACCTTAGTATATTTTAAGAGGAATGTGTTTTCTCTTTTATTAATTATAAGTAATGTTGGGTGTAACTAACATATGTGTGATTTTGTTTGTATTGTACATTTTGTGTTTATGTTAATTTATTTGGAAAAGCTATTATAAAAAATGTTAACTAGCAAAATAGCGAGATTATTTACCTAATAAAAAAGAAATCTGAAAAGGAAGCTTTGTGAAGGTGTTCATTAACCATTCGACGCCTCGCATCTGGCATAAACATAGAATTTTCCACTGATGATGATACTGCCAACTATCTCTTAACAACTATCTCTCTTAAAATCTCTAATAAATTGACTTAGATATGAAAAAACTAAACTTTGCGAACGAAGTAATTTACTTCAGGTAACCATATATTTTCCATCTTATATAGCTTTCGAAAAAAGATTCTAACGGTACATGCCTTGTACCACATTTTCAAATTAATCTTGAATTAGCTATCAGAACAAGCAGTCTACTATTGCAGTGTTTTTATATTGAGATATATTCAATACTATATGCGTTAAGAACCTGGTTCAATAGCGCTAACCGAGACGGAGTTGCGATGGCGCGGTTTAAGTTCTTTAGTGTGATAAAGTGAACCCTAGACGAATCGCTTGTTTACCAGAACGTTTGATATGTAAAATGTTTTAATGCTTAAGAAGTGTATTCAATCATGAATTAATGAAGTTAACATAATAAAATAAAATAATATATATTAATTAATAATAAAAAAGTAGCCATTTCTATTTTAAAATTAAATTGAAGTATTTAAATAAATTTGATTCAATTCTCTACACATTTAAGTTATATTCGTTTACACCGCTATCAAAAATATGTCTTAATTCTGATAAATCAGTCATATAACGTAATATTGTTGTTTGGCAGTCATGATGGATGGAGCTTTTAGTTGGACGGGTTAACCATTGTCAGTTCCTTATTCATATTTTTATTTGTTTTCGAAGGTGGCAGCACTAAAGACGGTAAATTAATTCTTATTTTAACATTCTTGGTAAAAGTGTGAAACATTCAGTATAATATTTTAAATATTAAAAGAATAAAATATTTATTGAAATTATAATTAATAACACAGTAAGTCGTCTTTCTTTCTTTTGTAAGTCTCTTTTGTTTTAAAAATGTTTTTAAATATTTTTTTATAAAACATATAAACATATTTAATTTTTTTGATAAAATAAGGGAAGCGTGTTACGTGAAGTTTTTTTTTTAATTTCATTATAACTTGAATGAAGTTTATTATAGATTAAATATGGCTACATTATACCATATATCATCTTATAATTTTATTCTCATTATTTCCGTGATTTAATATATTTCAAATATTTTTTGGTTTCAATAGCAAATTTAGTAAGTAAATTTTTTTGCAAACAGACGGTTCTCCCGGAATAACCTATTCTGGAGGGTGCTATAGCAATTAATGTCAGTAAAAATGTTGAGGTACCGCCGATAGAATTTCCGATAGTTCCTTATAGAACTAATTTTAGTCTTAGTTTGCTGATAAGGCGTTATAGGAGTTCATGGTGTAAGACCTATGCTTATAATGGAAGCAGCTTGTAAGAAATTCAATAGGAATTATATTGCTTGCAATCAATAACTATGTGCTTACGTAAAAAAGGCTATATTTAGTAGCTTATAGCAAAAGTTCAGCCTTGTAGTTGAACTGCTTGTGTCTGCGCAGTTCTCTGGTCGAAAAGCCAGCAAGCGGCATGGTTTTACATAAAGTAAAAAGTTTTGCTTAAAAACACACAACATCACTTAAACTGAGTCTGGATGTTATTGGTTTTAATATTACCAATTTGAGCATTAAATGTCTAGTGCATCTTGCTTAGTTTCATTTTCTACATCAAAATCAAATGAAAGGAAGACAGCAATCAGCAGAGCAAATTACTTGCACTTTATCCAGAATAGTAGGAATATTTCTGCGGAACAAGCTCAGTACTTATTACTACCGTCACGATACCGTCTTGGTAAACCGTACGGTCAATGGACTGTTTGTTGCGAAAACTAATATATGTAATTCATTTTCAAAGATGGTACAAGGTATGCACCGTTGATATATTATTTTAAAAACTATTTGAGAAGGCGGGAAGAGAGAGAGAGAGAGAGAGAGAGAGAGAGAGAGAGAGCTAAAAAAATGTGTGTAAATACTTTTGACAACTAATAAGCATCAGTGCATTTGCTTATATTTTTGTCTAATGAACAGTTATCTTTCCAAATCTTTTTTTAT